TATCCCGAATGGTTCACATAACTTAAAGAAAAAAGTGTCAAAGAAAAAGCAAATGATTTTCAAATGAAAGCTCCAGTGACACTAAAGGCGAAACACCGATCATAGCATGCTAGAATGCAAAAATAACTAACATTATACAACAGAAAATCAGCAAATACATAAAAAGTTAGGGAACAAGCACAATGGAATCAGCAGGATGTGCGAGTTACTTCGACCTTGTAAGAAAACAATCTAACTATTACTTTTTACACACCTCGAATGATGCAAGTACATGGATAATTGATACAAGTGCAACATCACAAACATGTCATGATTTTAGCTTTTTTACTAAAACCCGCAGTACCTGTTTCTAATTCAGTGCTCTCCGAACCGTGCGGGAAGGTTTCCCATCACACGGCTCACCAACTTGATATTCGACGGGAACCGTATGTCCAAATAGGCTTTCGCTCCTATGCTACAAACACACCGGATATTGAAAAGAGCGCTTACCCCTCTCGCAGCGGAGTCATTCACAAGAGAAAGACTAGCTGTGGATTCTGCTAGGGTTTGGAATAAATGGACGGTTGAGATTGAAGGCAGAAAATGAAGGGGCAGATGAAAAGAATGCTGGGATTTAGGGCAAGTGGATGATGGAGATTGAAAGTTGCTATTTATTGTGGATACCTGGAAAAGTAGATTCTAGAATTTATTTTTGTTTCTAGTTTTCTAAGCAATTTGTTAGGGTTTGTTTACTTTTTGTCCTCTTCTCTGTGTATATAAATACGCACAAGTACATGATGAAATACATACACAAAAACAGTAAAATTTACTCATTCTTTTTTTTTTTAAAAGGCGATTAAGGTTTTGATGAGTAAAACGTTCAAAGCTTTTACTTCAGAAAATAAAAAAACTAAACACTTCAATCTACTTTAGGCTGGGTTGATTAGTTCGGCGCAAAATAAAAAATTCTGCCTCAAATCGTATTTATTTTTATGAAGTTAACGAATTTGTAACTAAATAAATTATTTTTACCCATAACTGTAACTATATATATTTGATATTTTTAATTATAATTTGAATTTATTTTTATTATTTTATGATTATTTTTTAGAATTACTACTATTATTATTCTTATTATTATTCTATGACTTAGTTTCATATCTTATTGATTAATCATTCTATCTTTACAAACAAAAAAGCCATAAAAATTAGAAACCTAACTCTTTCGAAATCCCTATTTAAGTTTAAAATTTAAGTCTATCGCTATTTTAAATTCTAAATTAATTCTCTAAGCCCAATTTAAATAAGAGTCTAGTTTTAAATGTCTTTTAAAACATATACTTTATTTAATCTTTTCTTGGTTCTAAAAGACCTGTTTAAAATTGACCCAAGCATAAGAACCCAGACATCCCAAAAAGGCAAACCCAAAAAATTTAGAATTTCCATAGCCTTGGCCCAAGCTTGACGCAACCGGTCTTCTTTGATTTCTAAAGGATGTGGCTGTTTTTGGAGCCACTTATTTTCTTCCTTCTTCAGCTAGAAACATTGACAGAGAAGGAGAGAGAGACACAATGAGAAATAAAAAAGGAGCGCGGCAGAAGCTAGTGGCATGATGATATCTAAACAGGTTTGACATGTGATTACTTTCATTTGATGATGATGAAATGGCGTAGAAGAAACTGAAAATCAGAAAGGAAGCGTAACTTCTGGTGATGCCTAATTGATGATTCGGCAAGACGCAACGATAAAGCAAGAACAACAAAAAGAGAAGAAGAAGAAGTGTGGTAGACAACAAAATGCAATGATGGTTGATTGATGATTCGAATGAAATTTTCTTTTTATTTTTTGAATGAATGACATTTTCTTCTAAAAATCGTAGTTGTTCTTAACATGAATAAATGACATCTTCTTCTGAAAATCTTAATTATTCCAAATGTAATATTAGAGAAATTTAATTCTGTTACTCAAACAAGTACGAAAATATGCCGATCACGAATGACATATAGTAATGTATAAGCCGTTAAAAGATAATAAATTTATATATATATATGTATATAATAAAATCAATTGATTAACAATTTTCATACAAATATATAGTATCGATCTAACGTATCCTGTAAAGAGTTTAGTATATGAATTTTTCAAATCCTATTTGTTACAAATAACTTGAATTAAACTTCTAAAAACTAACAGTTTTGAATATAGTTGTTGGACTTATGATCTTGGACTCAAATGTACAACCTTTCATAATTGTAGTAAGTTTTTTTATATTTATTTCTTTAAACATTGTTATTATCATTAAACATAATATAATTGGTCAACAAAGAGACTGTCGTTGACTCATAACAATTGCTCCATTGTGCTCACAAATATTTGCAACCACCAATGCCACTCATATCAAACAAACATTACATTTGCAATAAAATTGGATCAACTAGAAAGACAAGGGTATGGGCAATTTGCACTTTAATAACCTTGCAAGCATCAATTACAACAAAGCCATTAGTATCTTATGGAATGTAAATTTTCCTAACTCTAGAGATCAGCAGAGAGAATTCTTCATGATTAATATCCAAAAGAACTGGAGACTCGACTAATACTGTATTTAATGCATATTACATTCCCAACAATCTCAAAACTAAATGACAAGATATGTCTATTAACAACCAATTTTCATTTCCAGAAGAATCAGCACTTCACCCAGGGAAATGAACTCTTTTTTTTTTTTTCTTTTTAACCTTTACGTATTCCAAATCCATAAAGTAAATGCATGGTCCCTCAAGTTGAAAATCAATTACAAGGAATGTCCGGATCGCCTTATCCTTTTCCCATTCTAGCAGTTCTCTACAACTGGTCTGCTGCGTCAGTCTGCACGGGAGCCACTGGGACCTGCTGAAGACTTCTTCCCACCGTACCTCTGTGCATATACCATGTTGTTATCTTCAATGCAATATCAATTATACATGGAGAAAAAGCTTTCAACATATAAATTCTAGGAGCAGTTCTGCCAACAAAAATAGATAAGTTACTTAAGTGCACCTGCTTTCCAATGTTGAACGGAACATATTTGTATTTAATCATGTGTGAGATTTGGCGCCTCATCGTAAGGACAAACAGAACAATCCAGTAACAGAGTAATATAGGCCAAAAGACAGGAACATCAAACATAGAAAAGAATGTCATGACAAATGCTATGCAGAAAGCCTTCGTCATGGAGTACCTGGTACCATAGAACAAGAAAACAAAATATTATTCTCACACATTAACAAAGATTTCTAAAGCAGCAATGTTATAATTCTCAACAAAGGTCATATTCCCAGAATGACAAGAAGATTCTCGAATTAAAATGGAATAAAAGGGCTTTTACACAATTCAATCTAGTTGATTGCACAAATTTTATTTGCAATGGCAAACAAAAGTACTTTAATTGGCCAACCAAATCATACAGATCTTTTCAAGATGGTCTGCAAGTTCAAGGAACTCCAACCATTTAAAAGAGTATGGCGTCCCTGCCTAGAAAATACTTATGATGACATAGATAAAAGCAATAATGTGAAGAAGTAAGTTAATCTTCGATGAAGTTCAGATGAAACTAAGTATAAAAATTTGTATTACCTTCATCGTTAACTACTCTTTCACTATGTGGTTTTCTAGCCCTAATTTTTATGAATGAGAACCTCATAACTCTGGAAATGCAAAGAGAATGGAGGGCACAGTCAAGGTCCTCCAGTGTACTTAGTTTCAACAGTCAGAATATTTCAATTTTTTCAAATTATTTAAGACATTCTAGCAAATATTTGATCATAATTCACAATCTCCTTCTTTCTTCCTGGATAACACAAATGACAAAGAACTTTCAAATTGACATTCCAAAGCATGAAGAACACAGATGAATATAGTTCTCAATATAAAAATACATATAACATGCTTCCATATGTTTGAAATTTCACTACTAATTGCCTAAGCAGCAAAAGATAAACGGGATATTACCAGAACTTAAACTCAGGGAGTCGGCGGATAAATGGCTTGAACTCATCTGAACCTTTTGTCGGCAACAATGGTCCATCAGTAATTTCAATCTCAGGATCAACCAGAGGAGACAAGAATCCAATTAACAAATTCAGTAAGTAAATTCCAAGAGCATAGGAAATAATGTAGAACCCCTGAATATAATAAACCCGAAGACAATAGATAGCTGCTATGACAAGGGTTCCAATCCATCTATAAACTGAATGAGGAGTAGTCTTGTCGAGATAATACTGATACATCCTCCAAGCTTCATGTGCCCTTTGTGATACAGGCGATGCTGCTGCACCCTCACCTCCAAATCCCTCCATTCAGCTTAAGATTGAAAACCCTACAGATCAATGAATTAGCATACAAGTTCATAAAAATGACCAGCAGTTCAAGAGTCTATGTATTTCTCTCATTAAGCTTTTCTATTGAAACAATAGTGATTCCCTCTCCGATCCAGCAATAATAGTCACAGCGAAGATGACATCTGTGTGCTTGATTTCCAACTTTCTAAGCTCAACATACAAAGAAATTAATAATATAAATATAGGAACAACAGCCGCCATGTCTATTACCCACGTTTAACAGGGGAGAAAACTCTAATGCTGAATTTGACCACTGAGAAAACGCCAGTAATCACAATATCATTAACTTATACAGGGTTTTTTTCCCTACACTCTTTCCTTTTTCTTTTCCCAATCCAACAAACCAAAAAACACCAATAATCAGCTTGCTCAAGAGAAATTACTTCATTTCGAGAATCGCAGAACTATCCACGTGACGCAAACCACAAATCCTAAATTAATTGTTAGTCCTAAATTTTCCTCAACTTACCCGTGGCAACCAAAAATTTGGGCCTCGATACATGTAAGGACAAATGTATCTACCCTAAAATCAGATCTATGACCGCATATCCCTAAAAACACAGAGCCTATACTTCAAAAACACAAAATGATCGAACATGGTTTTGAAGCAAAGTCTGTTTCCCGCAACACAAACAGGTAAAAAATTTAATAAATGCAAACAAATTGATAATCGCCATTAATCGCAACCAGAATGATGATGATAAGGGAAGACATGAAAATAAAGAGGAAAATAATCTAGCCAGCCCAAAAAAATAGGAAACAAGTCATTTAAAAAAAACATCTGACCTCGAGAGACTTGTGTACGTTTAGCTTCTGACTTCGCAAGAGATTTGATACGGCGGACGCGGAAAGAGAGCAGACGCAGATCTATATGAGGAAGAGAAATGCACTTTCGTTTTTTTAGAAGTTTTTTGTTTTATTATTTTCCGTTTTACCACGGTGGGAATATAAATGGGTTATTACATGAGCATATACTAACTAGTTCTTCCAAATGCGGTGAGCGCATGCTGAATTTTTTTTAAAAAATTTTAAATAATAAATTAGTAAAAATTTTGGGTCTAATAGAAAGTAATTTATGTAAATAATTTTTATGTATATTTCAAAAAAATAATTTATTAATATTTATTTTTAAAAAACTAAGATATCATGTATTATACCAGTAACATGTACATAATATTAATATCCAAATCATAATAATTATGTAAATGTTTAAATTTTAATTGTATTTTATATTATTAATACATCTATAAAAAAATAATATTTTATTAAATTTAAATATATAACATCATTAATTATTAAAAATAAAATGAAAACGAACGATATATTTGGTGTACACATCTTAATAACTTCATAATTATATGTAATTAAGTCAATCATCTACTTATTTATTTTTTATTTGTTAAAAAAAATTTAGTAAAACAAGTAACAATTATTTAGAGATTATATAAATTAAAAATTTGTGAATTTCTATTATTGTACATCGGTGTAAATGATTAAATATTAATTATAAACAAAATTCTCATAGTTAATATTGAGAATAAATTACATGCATTAGAAATAAAAACATGGTAACATGAGAACATGCCTTAACTTAGAACTTTAGGTTCATTTAGAATCTAACACATGTATAAGATCAATCTAAACAAAGATACAACAAAAGTAACTCAAATATATATAGAAATATAATATGAAAGTTTATAGCAGAATTAGGAGTATATTGAACGAATTTAAAAAAACCTCATTGAGATGTTCTTTTAATTAAATTACAAGTATTCTAAAGAAAAAACTATTTTTGAACAAGTCTCGGTTATGTAACTCCTATAAAAAATCAAATTCTTGATAGTGAAATGGAAAATAAATGATTTGGTCACAATTTTCCACCAATTCCCAAATAACCAAATTCAATTTTCACCTTAAATTGCAACATAAATAAAAGAGAAAGGAATCATGCTCTTTTATAACCATGAATAACTCTGCTTTTTTTTTTTTTTATCATCTTTATCTCTATCCCTATAATTCAAGTTCTATCATTCTTGTACGTGTAATTCATGTCTATCTATCTCTTCTCTCATTTACTAGAAAATTAGAAATTCAACATAGCAAATACTAGTGATGACCTTCTTTGAAAAAAAAAGTAGATGATGACTGATGAGAAAATTAAGAGTTCTATTGACAAAAGGGGAATATAAAAGCTTCATTCGTTTTAGGTTAAAAATTGGGGAGATGTTTACATTTTGGTTAAATAGATCCATGTGGATGCATGTATGATTGATATAACATCCATGTGAATTTAGTTTAGACTGAGTTAATTAATATTGACAATATAGAGGTAATTTGAATATTTGTAAAATTTGAGATTTAATTTTTTTTTAAAAAAATTATTGATACAATTTAAATATTTTTTAAAAATTGATAATAAATTTAAATACTTTAAGTACGCAGATATAACCTTTAAATAAAATTAAAGTAGTTTTGCAGTTTGATCAATAAGTATTTCTTCAACTTCATTAAATAATATAAATGTTGTACTTCTTAACTCAGCATTCATAATTGTTTCGAGTTAGTATATGGTAATTATACATACTAAGTATTTTTTTTTTCTTGAAAAATAATATTTGTTGTTTTAATAGTAAAATGAAAGCAAAATGTTTTTAAAAGACATTGCAATTCGACAATTTAATGTTGTTCCACAATAACAACTTAGGGATAAGGACTGTAAATTCTTTAGGTTTTTAAAACAACAATTAGAGGCAGCATAATACCATCCATTGCAATCATCAATTTTTCTCAATGCGTACCAAGCAATTGAAGAATGTGTACTATTGAAAATAAATTGAAATATCAATTTTAATAAAATATTGAATAATTTACAAAAAAAAAATAATTAAATCCATATGTTCAATTACTTCATGTATCAAGGGTGACGCATTATATAAAATCTAAATAATATTTCAAAAATTTGCAACCATGCTGTCAATTTTGTACGTTGTTTCCACCTTTCTCATATCAATAATATTCTTGCTACAACTCCACGATACTTTATTGAACAAATTTAGTGACAAAAAGAATAACTAACTAAATAAATAAGCACAAATTTTCAAGAATGCTCTTGCTATTTCAAACCTAATCTTAATGTTAAGGTTTCAGCAATTTCGACCTCACATAGAAATGAGACGCACCTCATGCCATTGAAAATTACTTGCCAATTTAAGAATAATAAATAAACACAATGTAATCTTAATTAGATATTTTAATTTTACTGAGATGAATTTCACACCTAAATAATTTTTTATTTTAATTCACTAAAATAAAAATGAACTATTGATCAATCAACTGGGTCGCCGTTTGTATAGGTTAAAGTAGTTGGTTTTATGGATCAATGCTCAACAAATACGGTTCCGTTTTTGGCAATACAACCAGCTTGTTCAAGCGCTGATTCAAAGAAGCCGCTTCCGCGGATGGTGAAATCTATGCAGGGCCGTGCAAATTGAATGATTATGTCTCTCAAGGTAAGCAAACTTTTGGGTCGATGTAAATCGTCAACCAGAAAGCTGATACTACAATTGTTTTCTGCCAAATTCTTCATGGCTTGCTTCAGGGAATCAGTTTTCTTGTTGGTAATCGGTGAGTCCATTCTTGGAAGGAACATGTTGCCTGCAAGTAAACCGTCACTCTCTTCTTTGATTGCAGCTGCAGGCTCTATGTGAATAAATTCCTCCGCGGTTATACTCCTATGAGTTACAACCGTTGTTTATATTTATGTATTGAGTAACTGAGGAATGTACAAATTTTTGTTTAAAAAGAATTCCTTACTTTCTCTTGTTAAAGAGATCATCCATCTCCACGACAAGGTAGACATCGTTTTTCCTTACGCAACCAAGAAGCCTCCGAGTATTGCTCAAAGTTGATAGAGTTTCTGCAAGGCTTGTGTCCGCGTACACAAGAGAGACATTTTCTTCGTACTCACATCTGAATGACAAGAAGAAACAAGAGATATCATCCAAAATTCAGAGAATAAATCAATTTTCAATTATACAAGATGCATCAGTACCGAAACTCTGTCAAAGCCTTGTCTGCAATGTTGTCGAACTACTCTAGTCCATTTGATTGAAGCAGTAATTGGATCACTACATTCTACCCGGAGTTTATAAATTAATTTTACCGGTAAACAGTTTATATGTATTAAACTAATGGTGTTTTGGGAAATGTATAGCTGCAAGAAATACCTGAATAACGAAACCGATAACCTGAGAGTCAGGCCTCTCTATAACAGGCACAACTTGTATGTAATACCCGCACATTGTAGCCGGTGATTCGAAAGCAAAAGCAAAACATGGAAGAAAGTATCATCCAAACGTATAGGAAAAAAAGGATTTCAGAGGAATAATTTTGCTAGTTCCCCAACCTATCATCCATATTAAGCCACACAACCATGATTAACAGTCTAGGTAAACCAACTTCTTGTACAAAAATGGATAAAGAAAAAAGAGGAGAGTACCATGGTTTGGCCTATTTGAGGATTCCGTCCAAGAATGGTGAAGAAAGATCCTTCCCACTTCTCATCGTTGCTATTCCCTTCAGTTTCGACATCACCTTTCTCATATTCCTGTAAAGGAAAAGAAGCTATATGTATATTTACTTGCTTTTTAAAAAAAAAAAAAACAAAAGAACCAGCGAGGAGCAAGGACCTAAAAAGTCTCAATTGGGAAACGAATGGTTATTAAGAGAAAATTACCTCGATAGACCATAAAAA